AAAATAACCAATCGGAACCTCCCAAAAAAAAGAATTTGCCCAAAATCGGAACTTCGTGGTTCTGCGCAGATTTACCAGTCAGACACGACATCTCAAGGTGGAAAAAAACTCGCTGAAAGCGAATTTTAGAAATCAACACAACTTGACGTAGAGACATGATTGGCTAAAAAATACAACGGTTTTTGATACATCGGAAAATCAACCAAAAATCGAAGACTGGGCGAAACGCTCAAGGTCGCAGAGGCATAGGGAATCCCATAGCGATAGCAACGGAACTATTGTAATATCATGGGGAACTCCGTTCCCATGACAAAAGGGGGCAGAGATTTCGAAACACCGCTATTTAGACACGCAGTTTTGCAGTCTCATCGTCGATATGGGTATAGGCACCCGCACCCTCTTACGTGCGAATGAGATCCATTACTTGCAGCATAATTTGACTCATAATTGCACAGTGATTGTTAATTTTATACTTGAATAGTCATTTTTCTCCGTTTAATCACTGTGTTATCGATTTTTAATCGTGAAATGAGGGGCTTGGAGGACAGGGCGCATAAGTGCAATGTTTACTATTTCGAGAAATACAGGTTTGAAGTTTTGAAATTACATGGGTTCTAATGGCAGACAAAAAGTTCAAACTGACTTTTTCATGCTTCAAAATGGGAATTAGGGAGCGAATTTTTCGCAAAATATGCATTGTGACTAGTTTTACATGAAATCCTTAATATCTCAATTTTCCCAAAACCTGCACATTTACGCCGTATCCTCCAAGCCCCTAATGGCAGACTTAGCAAATATCCTTTTATTTCAAATGTACGTTACAGTCGAATTTGTGTGTTTAATACAATTTTTTATCGCTGTCGCTGTCCTTGGTGATTTCTACGATCTGGTTTAAATTTAGTACGTACTTTAAAAGTAACGCTTTTAGACGGGTAAATTTTTCCAGTGAGGAAAACTGAATACTTGCTCATTAAAATTTGTGGGCCGCTTCGTAAATGAACCTGCGGCGTGGCGTGCTTTGCGATATATCGATAGATCTTCCATTAAACCTATGGAAGAGGACGAGGTAATCGGCGTGTTCGCATCGAACACCTTAATAATCGATTCTTTGCCATAGCTCTCAATAGGGAAATATCGAAAATCGATTATTCACGCCTCACCATTGAAATGAACGCACCGTTCTGTAGGGAAAATGAGCCGAAAGGACGCAATTTTATTTTTACGCGTCGAGGGGCTACGTCATGACAGCGCTATGAGTTGAGAGGTATGTCAATGAATCCAATATTTTGCGTCACGCATTTTATGAACGGCCTCTTACGGCTTGCAAACTTATTTTGGGAGAAAATGTGGCCTGTTTCTGATACCTGAGAGCCGCTTCCATACCAATTTTGCAATTTTTCCTTCTTCTCTTTTCTTGTAAATTTATCAATTTTAACGGACATCAATTGTCTTTTAGATTTGTCCATAATTTGTCAAAGGCATTCGAGTAAATTTTGAGAGCTGATTCCGAGAATGACGTTCGTTTTCGAGGATCAGCTCGATTTTCCCTGGAAAAATCAGAATCCCCCCTAAAAATAGAGTTTTACCTGAGAAAACCCCTATGACTTGGCTACAGGGGTGTTGTATTAAATCAGTTACCATGGTCTACCTCAAACAGAACACTTAGGTGAGTTTCCTCTTTGCAGTAGGAGTCCATGAAACCGATGGCTCCCTCTGCAAAGACATTAGATATTAAGTACTTAATTTATTCGCATTTGCAACTTGTTGCATCTGCTTCATGTTTTTATTGTATGTATGCCTGTATGAATGATGAAAATAACGTATAGGATTGTATTTAGAAGCGTAGGTTAAGGTATGAATGTCATTTATTAACAAAATCTTGTTACATTAGTCATAAAATTAGCTGTAAGCTTAAATTAACAAGTATATAATTAATGCCCCGCAAGAGACAGTGGTACAATTTTAATTTAATAAAAAAAAAATAAAAAAAACCTGAGAAAAGTCATTGCTCCGAAAATGAAAAGTCCGAAAATTACGTTCGTTTTCCATCCCCAAGTAGCAGTGATCGCGATAAATAGCGATTTAATCGGTCGATTATCGCGATTATATCGGTTGCAAAATATCGAGATACTATCGCTTAAAAAATTGCGATATATTGCGATTAAATCGCTACACATCGCAATTTTTGGTTTGATAAAATCGCGATCAATTTTCGTCGATAAAATCGAGATTAAATCGCCATTTATCGCGAGTTTTATTTCGAAAATATCACGATAAATTGCCGGGTGATGAAATCGCGATAAGATCAAGGATAATTGCTCAGATGTTGTGGATCCTGACGATTTTGTCGCCGATAAAATCGCAATATACAGCGATTTTTCCGTTGCGAAATGCTACTTGGGTCCGCTCGATTTTTCCCGGAAAAATTAAAATTCTCCCTAAAAATCGAGTTTAAACCCACTTTTCCTGGTAATCTGCGCACGATGGAGAAAAACATAGGTTACTTTCGAATTTAGCAGCCGTGTATTGCATGCCTGTAAATATTTCCTTCCCTTTCCTAATTTCAAGGTTTTTCTGGTCAATTTCGTCCTTCCGCCCATGCCATCATGTAAAGCTCATCCGATTATTTTTGCATCGGAAAGGAGAGGCATTTGGCTCTCTCAGACTGCATTTGGGGTTACCCCCACTCAATTTTCGCTGCTTAGGTCGAAAATTATCTTAGTGTTCTTCCAAAACCTACGGAATTTTTGAAAAATCGACTTTTAAGAAACATGTTTTTTTCCAGCTCAGAGGAACCCTTTCTTTTTGAAAACTTGATTTTTCAAATGTTTTGAAATAAACCAAGATTATTTGCGTTTTTAGCTGCAAAAATTGAGTGGGAATAACCTTATTTGCTATCTGAGACTGAAGGGAAAACATGTCCCCTATATACCCGACGCAAAATAGTCTGATGAGCTTTACATGGTGGTTTATGGGCGGAAGGAAGCCCTTGACCGGAAAACCTCGAAATTAGGAGTAGAAAGGAAATTTCTACAAGTACGCGCAATACATGATTTCCAGTGTATTTTTTTCCGGAAGTTAAATCCGGAAGTGACTTGAGTTTTTCTTTATCCTGCACAGTGCAAAGTAACTTTTCTCTGGTAAAGCTCGATTTTTATGGAGAATTCACTAGCAAGTCTTAGGTCAAACGATTCGTATTGACCAGTGTCGATCATTTCATTGAACCCAAGTAATATGAGTTCAATCTTCACAGATGTTTGAAGGGAGACATGAACGTCAAACAAGTTAAAAAAGATGCAACATAAAAGTCTTTCTACAGCGTGCTTTTTTTGTTTAAAAAAACAAAAAAAAAAAAAAAAAACATATCAAACAAGGGATTTGTAACGAATTCAATATTTTGTACTTGCATATGTCAAATGCATGAACGCCACGAATGGAAGACAAATTAAACTTCATATAGAATAGAGACGATGAGAAAAAACCGAATGTGTTACCAGGTAAAAAAAATGCCGAGTTGACATTCTTAGTATAGAGCTGTGATACGTGTTATTTTGTTGCTTCTTCCTGTAAATTTACCGATGATCCGTTTTTAAATGAAGGGTGTGAATCGGGCACTTCACAGGCGGCTGAAGGGAGTGAAGGGAGATACAAACAATAAGAAAATTAACCAAAAAGAGTACTAAAATGTGGCATAGTTGGGAGAGTGGAGCAATGTACATTCAATTTTCCCGCACTTTAAAGTAAATGGAAACGTAGTTTACGTTGTATACTTGAAATAATACCCGTTGGGAACGAGAGGAAGGACTGAGTATAGAGTGTAATGGAGAGGTATAATAAGTCTGGCAAAATATCCAGTCTTGATAGGGCATTCAAAGACGATAAATTTTAGAGACCAACAACTGGACTACATTTTGCAATCAGGAACCATTATTTCTGGTTCATTTTAGAAACAACATATTGACGGTGTAAGTCGGCAATCACATAACTCGTTTGCGGTGTCTGAAAATCTCCGCCTCTATATTATTTTTTAAAGGGGAACAAATGGACATTATTCCTTGAAGTTTTTGCAGAATTTTCTTCACATCACGATCACATCAAAAATCACGACAGTTTTAAAGAATTGTCGTTGAGAAGTTTTCCGTTTAAAAAATGGAGTATGATAGGAAGTCTGCGACGTCGCAAACCGAGTTATGTGATTGCCGACTTACACCGTCGAATACGCTAATGGTTTCCCTAGGTAGAAAGGTGCTTTCACGGAAGGACCAGAGCTAGTGGCTCTTTATTGCAGAATATAAACCAACTGAGAATGTAAGCAATATCATCGGGTGAGGTAAAATTATAAATTCGAAAATCAATGCTACTTTTCGATAACGATGAATGGCCAGTAGCTTGTTGAGCGAAAAATCAAATGAAATTTGCCTGATGATGACTTTTGAATTGTGGAATCAGCACCTTGTTGAGCGATTTTCTGTACATTGGGTCAAGTTGCTTAACTTATCGTTCAACTCTTTGGTGATCAGTCATCATTGCGTCACCTCCTGGCCAAAGTAATACATTCGCCAAGCGACGTTTAAAAATTTCCGCCGTCATTTTACTTTTTTTACAGAGAAATTGTTGGTTGAATCTGTTTGAAAATTGCATTAAATGTTATCGGCAGCACGAAGTAAATTCAGTGAAATTTTCGGACAGCTTCGTTGAACAATTTCTCTGATAAATAATAAAATGGCGGCAGAAATTTTTAAACGTCGATGATACTTTGGCCGTTAGGTGCGACGACGATAGGGCGAAGCTAAGTATTGACTTCCGGAAGTAACTTTTACATTTTGGGGAAGAAAGTATTACGAGGCCTCCATAATCCATTGGCTATGAGGAAATTGCAGTACAGATTGCATCGTCGTATGGTACATTGTAAAGGCACGATGTATTAGACATTATTAAATCTATTTGCAAAACGAGTTCAAATGAAACGATTAACTGAAAATGAGAAATGCAATGAGATGTACGTCATTAGTTTTTCAATTATTTTATTGCATGTATTTTTTTAAAATAGGTTTTCTCTGCTTGGAGATGTCCTTAGAACAACTTTGAGATATTAACTACGTGAGACTTCTTTATTTCACTAACGTAAATGGCCCTTTCACCGTCCAGCAACGTTTACCGGCCCCACAGTGACCCTTTTTGACTAAATAATGACCCTGAAAGAAGAAAGAAAAACAGTTAAATCTTAGTGTTTTTAAAAGTGTTAAGGAAAAACGCAGTAAGAACCATCAAGTGTTGCCAAATTTCCTCTTAAAAATGTCAATTTTTGAAGAACCTTATGAATTTTTTTCCATGCAATTTTCAGACACTTCAGACAAAATTACGAAAAAAATTCTCTAAAAAATCAAAAGACAAATATTCCCAAATTATCTTGAAAATCCGTGATTTCTCGAAGGAAATTTTGCAACGTCTAAAGGCTTAAATGACGTTCTTTCTTAGCATGAGGTATAGCTTGAGACATGCATCTTGCTGCTTTGGAAAAACGCCATATGAAACATCAAGTTTTGCCAAATGTCCTCTTGGAAACTGTTTAGGTATTTTTGAAGAAAGTTATGAATATTTTTCCTTGAAATTTTTAAACACTCCGATCAAATTACGAACAAAAATTCTCTGAAAAATTGAAAGAAAATTATTCACAAATTCGCCTGAAAATCCGTGATTTGTCAAAAGAAATTTGGCAAACGACTGAAGGCTCATCATATGGCGTTCTTTCTTAGCACAGCAGTATAGCTTGAGGCATGCATTGAGCTGCGCCGTCAAGCCGTACGAAATGAATCGAATTCAGCGGTGAGGTTGTGGCAAGTCCCATCAACTTGCAGACCACAAGACGTTGGGTTTAAAGTTTTATTCATCCAGAACTCTCAGTAGTAAAATAAAAGCAAACTCCTAATTTTGCATTGAAAATACGTTTTCAAAAATTTGGATTTTTTAAAAGAGATTTATGAAGGATAAGGCAACCAGTGGGTCTGTCGTAAACTTTTGCCGGAATGAAAAGCACATTTATTCCTTCAGTTAATCGCTAAATAGTCGCCTTGACTTCATCGTGAAGATGTGAAAATCACTCTGAGCTTCACAATCTATGTAAACGATTGAGTATTTCTGAAATTCTCGTTTCAAAATATAGACTACGAAAAAATCATGATCTGGCACAAAGAGATATCCTGCCGTGCTACGGAAAAACGCCATATGAACATTCGAGCTTCGCCAAATTTCCTTCGATGAAATACGAAGTTCCTGGTAAACTTGTAAGTATTTTCCTAAAATTTTTCAGATAATTTTTCTCCCGATTCCACCCATAAAAATCCTGGAAATTTCAAGAGAAAATATTCATAACAATCCTCAAAAATAAACATTTTACTGAAGGAAATTTGGCAACTCTCGAATGTTCATAAAACGTTCTTACATAGCACGGTAGTACGGGTCACTCACCTTTCAGAACGTCTCGCGAAACCAAGGATGGTCGCTGTCATAAGACAAAATTCCTCTAATAAAAATTACCTACGCAAGTACCTCTTCTCATGTAACGAAATTTTGAAAACAGATACCTAAGCGCATACGACGAATAATTTGATTTTCTCGTGGATGTAGAACGTAAGCTCCCTACACTGAAAAAAAAGAGGTAGGGGTTAAGCCCCAACTGTTGGATGATGTGGACATTTCCAATTAATTGTGGTAATACCCCAATCAATTGCGGTAATACCCCGATGAATTGTGGTACACTGGAAAAAAAAACACACTGGATCTAGAGTCCAGACTCTTGAAAACATTGACAAGAAAAAATACTCTTGATTTAATCGGATTTTTGCTTGAATCAAAACGAAATCCGCTTTAATTAAGAGGCTTGGTTCTTGATCTAAGCTAAATTCTGATTGAATCAAGAGCACTATTTCTTGTCGATGTTTTTAAGAGTCTGGACTCTAGATCCAATGTGTTTTTTTTGTTTTTTTTTCCAGTGTAGTACCCCAATAAATTAGGTCACTTACCCAAATGTTGCGGCGCTACCCCAACTTGAGTTGCGATACTACCAAAATTAATCAGAAATGTCCATATCATCCAACAAATTGGGTTAGTACCACAATTTTAGGGGATAAATTCTCACACTTTTTTTCCGTGTAATAACCGACCCGCGGTCCAACCCTCTGAAGCGCTTTGCGCCTCAGCTCAGGCGCGCAATGCGTTGCAAGGTTCCATCCTGTATAACGTGTATTTAAAAGAAAAGTTGTGAATATCTTCCTGTAGATTTTCAGGTATTTTAAATTAAATTAAACTGTGAAATTAAACTTCAAAAATTCCAAGGAAACCTATTTAAAAATCTCCCGGAAATTTGTATTTTATCAGAGATTATTTCTCAACACCGGAACGCGCGTTCTTTAGCGTTTTTCCGTAGAACGGCAGCAAAGTACTCGAATTAGTGGCGATTCTTGAAAGTTGACAACACTTTTTTTCCTTCATTTAAATACATGTAAAACAATCGATTATTGGTGAGGCAGCTTGCCTCACATAAAATCGATATTTTCAATGGATTTAAACGGAGGAAAAACAATGTAGTCAACCTGCAAAATCCCGACTGTCTTGAATTTGTAAGAAACCAAATATTTACCTCCAAACCCCAGGTAGGGCCCCAACTATTCCGGATTATCCAAGCGTCTGAAATCAAAATTTAAGGAAGTAATTAAATTATAGATATTATTAATATTTTTCATTTTATTTTTTGGAATGTTATGATAACTTTTCCTATACAATTCTCAGGTGTTTTGGATTCAACCGTAAAAAAAGGCTCCATAAATTACAAGGGAAACTCTTTCAAAAATCTCTTGGAAATTATCAGAGGGCATTTTAACACATTAAATCATCATTGCCTGAATCACATCCCAAAATAATTACATTATTGAAATCATGAAACATTTTTATACTTTACAAAAATTCACCCAATAGTTTCCCCTCTGAAGTAAAAATTAGCACTGGAAATTTTGAAACACGGCAACTTTTGTGTGACGAAAACTCTGTGAAAATGCCAAAAAATGATATTGATTTGTTTTCCCTTAAAAAATTTAAATGAAAGCGGAGGTTTTTAAGCATAGGAAACGAAATACGTGTTCTGGTTGTTTCACGTTTCACCCACCATCAAAATGTGTTAGCCCAGTAGCAGATATCGTTTACGCGAGAAAGTTCCTTCAGTTTGCGGCACAGGCAGCAAGCACACCGTTATGTGCAAATAGTTATGTATTCGAAAAAGCGTTTAATAATCTTTGATAAAATAGGATCTTCTCTCAGCGTTAAGGAGTCTCTCAGACATTCCCTCACAAAGCTGGATGGGTATCCGCTTTTCTGCTTATTGTAGGTATAGGTCTAAATTTCATGGATGTATCATGAAATGGACGAAGAGGTCGCCCGATGAAAGGGTGGCGACAGGGGGTTTTAGAAGAAATGAGGGTGTGCAAACTCCCTGAAGAGCTTTTGGGAGAATAGGGGACTTAGGCGGCTATGTGTCGCAAAGCGCCAGAGAGCGCTATAAAAGCGGCTTTATATGTATATCATGATTTGGTAATTTTCAGTTTCTTTCTAGGTCTGAAACTGGCATAAACATGAGTCTGAAGACAGCTATAATGGCAAAAGATTCGGATTTCCCGGCATTTGATCGCAAACCCGCATTTTTTGCCAATAGCGGCCTTTATTCCCACATTTAAACCACTATTAGATCCATAAAGAGACCGGCAATGACCGGTCATAATGCATTTTGAAAAATATGGACTTGATACATAGCACTATCAAAGCTAGCCATCGAAATATCAAGGTCAGGTGTTGAGATCGGCTTATTTGATGACTTGGACCAAACAAAGTACTTGACCTTGACATTTTGATAGTGTGACACAGGCCATTAAGTAGGTATATGCTGCTTGAAAATGTCCAAAAATGTGAGTAATCAATTAATTAAAGGGTAATACCTTGATAGTGACCAACGATTGCCACAGCATGACCCATATGTTTGAGTTTATTCGAGCATGCCGCTGATTCGTAAACTCCTGACACATAAAACTAAGAGAAAGTAAATTATTAATTTTAAGATGTAATTAACATGACATTCACACATTCATTGATCAAAAATTTGAGGATAACCTCGAGGATTAAGGAATATGTTAATTGATTGTTTATACTTCATCGCGGTTCTATGTATAATAATATGTAAATACGAAGGCAGGTTTATCATGGTCACGTTATAGAAAATAAGGTGAAATGTACTAATGTAGTCTCAAAAGGAAAACGGCCGGTTTTAAATGTTATTTCGGAACTGAAAACTGAATTTTTAAGACTAGCTCATTTTGAAGTTTACTTTAAAACGGTTTTGCTAGGAATCCTCGGTATGAATCGTTTTCAAAAATTGCATAACTGTCAATAAACAGATATAGAACAAATACAAAAGCAGGGTTGCCACCTGCGTGCATTCGAGTGCAGTTTCGATATCAGTATCGAATGCGATGTTTTCTCTCTAAAAAAAAAAAACCACGCCTTTATTACGTTGAATGTCTTTGTTAAAATTGGTAAGCGAGTGCTTTAGTCTCCTGACAACAGAAGTGCGATCTCAAAATTGGAGAAAATGAAGAGTAGCTGAAAAAGTGGAACCAATTGATGCGATATATCGCATGCCGTTCTGATACAAAAAATGGCGTCTATCGAATCACCTTAAACCTGCAAAAATAATGATAATAAAAGTTCCGGAATTTGAAACTAGTTCCGGGAAATAGCATTCTTCAGGCACCGGAGACTTAAATAATCGTCCTGAAATGCTGAAGAAAGGGCTCTTACTTGAAGTTCGTCTGGAGCATGAACACCTGCCGGAACCTAAAGCACTCATAGAGACTAAAGCACTCACTTACCAATTTTAACAAAAAAATTCAACGTAATAAAGGCGTGGTTTTTTTAGAGAGAAAACATCGCATTCGATACTGATATCGAGACTGCACTCGAATGCGATATTTTCTCTCTAAAAAAACCACGCCTTTATTACGTTGAATTTCTTTGTTAAAATTGGTAAGTGGGTTCTTTAGTCTCCTGACAATAGAATTGCGATCTCAAAATTGGAGAAAAATGACATAAGTAGCTGAAAAAATTGAACCCATTGATGCGATATATCGCATGCCGTTCTGACACAAAATATGGCGTCCATCGAATCACCTTAAACCTGCAAAAATAATAATAATAATAAGTTTTTTTTTTTTTTTTTTTACTCCAATGTTAAAGTTTTAGTCCCAATTTCAAATTTTGTACTCCAATTTTAAAGTTTTAATCCCAATTTTAAATTTTTACTTCAATTTTAAATTCAAGAACTCTCCTTTGCATTGAGTTGCCGGGGGAGAACTAAATATCTGCCGGCCTCGAGCTGTGAATTGAGATACGAGATAATAATAATAAAGGTTCCGGAATTTGAAACTAGGTCCGGAAAACTGCATCCCTCAGGCACCGGAGACTTCAAGAATCTTCCCTGAAATGCTGAAGAAAGGGCTCTTACTTGAAGTTCGTCTGGAGCATGAACGCCCGCCGGAACCGGGGTCCAGTCCAAAGCATCTTCCACGTTTTTATCACCTTTGATCTCGTCGTAATCCCCAATTGACATGTAACCTGGTATGTTGGGATTGCAGTCCTGGGTTTCGGCTACGTACGGGTAGTCCACAGCTCTCGAGACTCCGAAAATCTTCATGTGTAGGAGAGCTTTTCCTATGTCACCATTTACGCATCCGTCGTTCTCTGGAACGCAGTCTACCAGATCTGCCAAAATATTGATTTGCGTCGATAAACCTCTTCAGTAGATTTTAATACTGCACATTGGTGCACATCGAAAATTACGAATATACTGTCTGACCGCTTCGCGCTTCACTGCTGTGCTAGGGAAGAACACAGTATGAACATTCGAGAGTTGCTAAATTTCCTTCAGTAAAATGTGTATTTTTGAGGAAAGTAAATAAAATTGAACTTGCAGCTTATTTCATTGTTTCGCTCACAGTTTGTTACCTCGATTTCCCGTTTGTTTCGTTCTGTTTGGTTTTCGTTACTTTCGGTTTATTATTTGCTGTTCATCGCATGCACTCAAATTGCCAGGAGACTTTAACGAAAGAGTAAGAAAATATGATACGAATAGAATAAAATAGAATCGACCACTAGACATGCTGCAAACAAGGCATTGGTCAGAGTTAGAATTTATAAATCTCTTACACACATTTTCAACGATCAGGTTGCAGAAGAAATGAAGAACCCGGTCGTTTCCCCCAAACCTTGACATAAATCAAGGTTTTTTCAAGTCGCACAAATTTATACCAGGAGAAAAAGGCTAAAATTTTAAAAGCAGGAAAAGTTTGAAATGCGTCACGATCTTAGATTAAAACTCAGAGCTTCCTTTCACGTGTTTAATCCACCGTAAGCATCAGTGTCGAGGTGGGAACGATCGATTATCGATATTTCCCCATTTAAAATTGGGGCAAAGAATCGATTATTAAGGTGTTCGTTGCGATCGCTCTGTTTATTGATCCTCTTCCAAAGGTTTAAATGGTAGATCAATCGATGTATCGCAAAGCATGCCTCGCCACTTATACGCATTCCGACGAGTTCACTGCCCGTCCTCTTCAGCAAAGAAACATAAACCTCTGAGGGGAAGTTCTGAGTTTTAAAAATAGATTGTTATCATAATAAATTTGAACGTTCTTAAAAAAAGTGTCAATGTCTAACCTATACAATCTTCTATTTCCATAAAATACGTGTAATGCACTGGGTGCTGCGCTCGATTATTTTAAGTCTCTAATAGCGCCGTGCAAGATTTAAGAATACAACTATTTTAACGCGAGCGATCGAATTTTGCCTACTCGTTCAAGTGAAGGCGAACTACGTTTCGTGGCGTACTCGAAATACGCCTCGTCGAGCTGCGTCGCACACTTTAACGGACTCCCTGGCTGTTTTCTAACTCTGTCGCACGCATACGCGACCCGCCTGGCGATGTTCTGTCTCTCTCGCACACTGTAGCGGGCTATCTGGCTAGGCCCGTACTGTCATCCAAGGCAAGGGAGCCGTAACTCTATTTTACATTTTTGGAATCAGGAACTATAATATCACTGGCTCCACCAAAAAATCACGTATCCCCATTTGTAATTAGTAGTATATAATATACTGCCGTGCATAAGGGTAAAATGCTGTATGAACATTCCAGATTCAAATTTTCTTCGATAAAATATTTATTTTGGAAGGTATATAGTTATGCGCATTTTTTTCTTGAACTATTCAGATATTTTAGATTAAACTGCGAACAATATCGTCTAAAAAATTGAACAAGAAACATTCATAACTTTTCCAATGAATTCGTGTTTTCGTGCTCCCATTCTGCCGTGCTACGGAAAAACGACGTACAAACATTCGAGAGTTGCCAAAGTTCCTTCGATTAAATGTCTGTTTTCGAGGAAAGCTCCTGATATTTTTCCTTGAAACTTTCAGGAACTTCAAGTGAAATTACGAACAAAATCTGAAAAATTGAAAGAAAAATAGGTATTTACAAATTTCCTCTTTAAATCGTTATTTACCAAAGAAAATTGGGCAACGCTTGATGGCTAATGCGGCGTTTTTCCTTAGCACGGCAGTGAAGTTGTGTGTAAAATCGAGTGTGTGTTCAATTTACAGCTTTTTCTTTCATGCTTTCCAATTTATACCTTTCCATGATCTTAATAATCAACATGTGTCTTCGGTGTTCTTTAAAAAACAAAACTTTATCGAAGTTGACGTTTTTTGCTTTTACTGAGGGTTAAATTTAAGAGAATTGACTCAGCAGTGCACGTATGACTGTGCGAAATTACCTTGTTTTGAGAGCATAACTACCCTGTTCAATAAAAGAGCCCAGTGCATCTCCACAGCCCCCAAAGCTGCGAACGCCCAACAGCTACCGCATCTTTTATTGCCCAGGTCCTGCGAACAAAATTATTTTCAGGAAAAATTTAAAGAGAGATAGAATTAAGTCCAAGTTTAGAGAGTAACAAACAAGTTCTAAGTCCAGAAGAGAACGAGATGTAAAGAGGGAGGGAAAAAACGGAAACAAAAAGAGGATGATTATGATGCTGATGCTGATGCTGATGATGACCATGAAGAAAAAGGAGAACAACGAATGGTGCAGAACAAGAAGAGTGGAAGAAAATAAGCTAGAGTAAATTTAGAGAGAAGAAGAAGATAATGAAAGTGGGAGAAGCAAACAGACAGAAGAAATGAAAAGTAAGAAGAAGAAAGCAGTGAGAGGGAGATTGAAATAAAATAAGAACGTGGAAATAGTGGAATAGCTGTGAAAATAGCATTTCACCAAACTGGAGAAGATAAATTAACGTCATTTCATTTCGCCCTCAATTTCAGTGTAGGCAACAGGAGCTTCCGCGTGGTCGAATAGCGGTATCGTCGTGAAATGGCACGCTCACTCAGGCAAAATAAGCTCCCATTTGGTCGAATAGTGGCATCATCCCCGAAACAATATCGGCCTAATGCTCCCCGTAACAAAAGTTTTGGTGAAGCATCTAGACCCGTGACTGAAGTCACGGGCTTTCCGCTAGTAGGTAGACTAATAAATATATTGCATTTCGCAATAAGGAACGTAATGCCAACATATATGCAACATATACGAATATATAACAACATATTTGCCACTAGTCTCTCAGAAAGGTGTTTTTACGGAAGAGCCAGAGATAGTGGTTCCTTATTGCAAAACTTAATTCAAATAATTAATGAAAAGATTAAGAGGAAGAATAGGAGGAAAAAGACGGAGCAAAAGAGAACGATGAGATAATGATGAGGAGGAAAAAATCGATCAAGAGGAAGGCAAAAAATAAGAAGGAAGGAAAGGAATAAGAAGTAGGAGGCGAGTAAAAAAGAAAAGGAGATGACGAAAAGAAGGAAGACTTGGGATGAAGCCGAAAAAAGAGAAATATATAAAATAAAAAGGAGAAAAATAAGAATAAATAAAAGAAGAGGAATGGAAGAAAAAGGAGAACTAATAGAAGATGACGGAGAAAAAGAGAATGAAGAGGATTAGTAGGAAAGAAGGAGAATAATAATAATGAGGTTTAGGATAGGTAGAAAGAGAATGGGTAAAAGGAGAACTAATGGAGGGAGACGGAGAGAAAGAGAATGAAGAAGATGAGGAAAAAAAGAAGTAAAAAGGAGAGGGTGGGAAACAACAAGAAGAGGAAGGAGAGCAAGAAGAAGAAGAAGAGGAAGAAGATGAAGATAAGGAAGAGGTAGAAGAAGATGAAGATGATGAAGAAGAAGAAGAAGAAGATGAAGAAGAGGGAAAAGAAGAATATGAAGAAGAGGAAGAAGAAGAAGAAGAAGATAATGAAGAAGAAGAAGAAGAAGATGAATATGAAGATCAAGGTGAAGATGAAGATGAAGATGAAAATGAAAATGAAGTCGTAGATGAAGAAGAAGAAGAATAATAATAATAATAAAAAGAAGAGGAAGAAGCAGAGGAATGTATTATGACGCACCTGGTGCTCCGCAGGAGGATAGAGCTCAGGGGGTATCCGCCAATCGGTGATGGGGTCCCCTATGGGGGGGTTCCCGAATATCATGGGAGCCCCCTCGCTGGGGCCTGGGTCCATTCTGAAGTTGTGTCGAGGTCGACGCGACATTCCATCCGCCATGGGTCGATATTCAGGATCCCATGTTTTGGCCGGACGGAATCTGGCAGGGAACAATCTGCGATATCCGCTAGCTGTCCGCTGGAGAGATGGTTTAGAAGATGATCTCTGGGGAGACAGAGACCGAGCACGAGATCGACCGGGTGATCGAGAGCCGGATGGTTTTCTCCTTGGCGGAGATGTGGAATTCCTCTCTTTTCCTTTTCCTTTTCCTTTTCCTTTTCTTGTCAACGTCCGAGTCTGCAGCTGACCGCTCTCGTCGTCTTTGTCGGATAAGTCGCTCGGTAGGTCCTGCTTTCCAATGTATTTTTCGGCGAATTCCTGGCCTAAAATCAGTGAAAATCTATGATGTAGTGAGAGTGAGGCACACTCTAAGGGAATAAATCAATGGCGCTGGTAACAAAATCGTGTTTTGATGCTAGATTCTTTTAGATTAGCTAAAGATGATACAATCTATCCAAATAGCAACTTTCCACGTTCATCATTAACACCCAGTTATTGCCCTTTGAAAAGTCGGGTTTTTGACGTCATTCACCATTGTATAGTGACGCACCCTTGGTTTCTTCCACCTTGCTTTCATCAGTCGGTGTGACGCAAATGCACCACATGGTAAGACTGTAAACGCAGAAAAGTACTGCAAAGTCCTTGAGGGTGAGAAAAAGCTGCAAACTTCGATCACACACTGAAAAAAATATGCCGGTAGATTTTACCATCTCTGACACAGTGATACGAATATGGTAATAAACACCAGACTCTATGGTGGCATTTACCATACTATGGTAAGTATCACCAGAGTTCTGGCGAATACTACTATAATTCTGGTTATTTCCACTAAATAGTATCACTGTGTAAAAAATCAAGTAGACTCATAGTAAATGTCACCATACTTTTTTTTCAGTGCAAGAAAACGGTCTGGGCTTCTGAGCCGTGTATTTCTGCTCATGCATGACAAATTCACTCGGCAAGTGTTCCTGTCGCGTATTACGCAACGTTTCTTCCAAATTCACCCAGAGTCAGTTTTTCGTCTGTGCTTGTCTCCCTCATTTCTGCCGTCTCTCGCTTAGTTTCTCATGACGAGCATTTTAAGGCCTTAAGCCAATGCCTGCATACAATCAGACACACCATCCCATTTCTTTAATATATTGTTACATTTTTGTGGGTTTCCTCCTTTCATATGCGTCAGGGGCGGTTCTCTGAAATTTTCAGCAGCGGCAGGGCTTGAGTGATCGATTATCGATATTTCCCCCTTTGAAGCTATGGTAAAGAATCGATTATTAAGGTGTCCGTTGCGAACACCCTGTTTATATATCCTTTTCCATAGGTTTAAACGGCGGATTAATCGATATATATCAAAGCACACCACGTCACTGATTTTCCTGCATTCAACTCTATTGTACAATAGTTATTTGGACTGCATTTTGCAATTTGGAACTATAAATTCTGGCCCGGTTTAAAAACAACGTATGTGCCATTAGTTTCCCTATGTACATAAGTGTTTTTTCAGATGAGCCAGAATTTATAGCTCCAAATTGCAAAATTCGGTCCATTTGTGAGGCAGCCTGTCTCACTTAGAATCGAATGCATTCAAAATGCCAAACCTCAATGTTGCCAAATTTCAAGAATTCTTACTGATTGTCTTGCACTTACTGCTGAGGTCTGTGAACGGTCCGATCCCGTAAACGACGGAGCCTTTTCTATTTGCATTGAGTTCACTGATTTTGACCAGGTTTTCTTCAAAGATCCGAAGACGTCGCCCCTTCTCCTCTTTTGTACTGTAAGATTTCTCGTAGACATTCATATACCACTCAAATTTTTTATCCAAACTCAATTTGGAAAATTTTTCCTGGACACATGGATACGCCAATTAAAAATGACAAAGTAGTAATAATACAAGTCCAGAAAACTTTTTGGAAGATACATGGTCTGATTTGATCTGCAGAATCCGCCTGACTGCATTTTATGTTTCCTAATTTTCTTACATGTTTTAATTTATTTAACAAACAACACCTAATTCTTAACGTCCTCAATTGTTTGCGAATTTATCCTAGATTATATAGAATCTAAAAAATTTCAATTTTCAGTATTACTACATTTTCAATAAGACACTACTTGTGAAAATTTCCCGTCCACTTTTCCAGAGAATTTTCTTTGCAATAATCTCTAAAATATCAGGAAATTTCAAGCAGAAATATTCATCATTCGTCTCAAAAATATATATTTAAGGAGGGGAAATTTGACAACTCTCGGATATTTATACGGCTTTTTTCCTTAGCACAACAGTAAAGTAATCAGACTGATAATGGTTAAATCCATCCATAAGTTGAACGTATTTATGTTGAAAAGTGCTATGTTGATCTCATTAAGCACCACAAAACTATCGATTTTTTAAAAAGCTTATCTACGTGGGCATAAGTTTGGTTTAAAGAACCCCGCACAGAGCATGGGCTCAGCGGCTCTCGGTGAAAGTTGATGAAACTTTAATAGATTGTTATAAAGTTCATAATTAAGGGAAAGCCAAAAAATTAGCTCACTTTTACGAGTAGAAGCTGAGATATTCGCGATTGAACCCGGACTATTTTCTGTGCGGCAGAGGTAAGTGGGCGCTCCGCGTCGCCGTCGCCTTACCTTGCTCGAGCACTTCGGCCAGGAAACCCCCTCTCCCCACCAGGTAGCTACGATGTCGCATTGTTTACACTCACAATGAGTGTAAACAATGTAAACAGTGTAAACATGAGGGAGAGGGGGTTTCCTCGCCGAAGTGCTCGAGCAAGGTAAGGTGACGGCGACGCGGAGCGCCCATTTACCTCCGCCGCAGAGAAAATAGTCCGGATTCAATCGCGAATATCTCAGCTTCTACTCGTAAAAGTAAGCTAATTTTTTGCCTTTCCCTTAATTATGAACTTTATAACAATCTATTAAAGTTTCATCAACTTTTACCGAGAGCCGCTGAGCCCATGCTCTGTGCGGGGTTCTTTAGGAAAATATGATCAAGCCCTTTCACTAACCAAAAACTGCTCATTCAATAGGCAAGGACTCAAGGAGACGGCCAAGGGTAAAAATGGTTTCAGGACATTTTGTCAACGATTTTTTGTCCGCGCACCTTTTTTGTCCAGTAGTTTACGCCCACACGTAAACTAAGCAACAGTGATTCGGTCCAAGCGTTATATTTTAGTCGGTATGTGAAGTTATATTAACAATATAGAAATGAGAAATTCAGAGAGATGGAGGTGTTGTTATGGTTGCTCATTTTCTAAATGAAATTTTATAACTTTTGGCATGGAAACGGAGTTCCCCTGTCATTACAATCGTTCCGTTGCTATTGCTATGTGATTCCCTATGCCTCTGTGACCTTGAGCGTTTCGCCCAGTCTTCGATTTTTGGTTGATTTTCCGATGTATCAAAAACCGTTGTATTTTTTAGCCAATCATGTCTCTACGTCAAGTTGTGTTGATTTCTAAAATTCGCTTTCAGCGAGTTTTTTTCCCACCTTGAGATGTCGTGTCTGACTGGTAAATCTGCGCAGAACCACGAAGTTCCGATTTTGGGCAAATTCTTTTTTTTGGGAGGTTCCGATTGGTTATTTTTCGCCATCAGTTTTCTGGTCGTTGGTGCAAAAGATCGCCTACCTCGTTGCTCTTGAGAAGCCGCCATTATCCCACCTCAAATTTTAAACATAGATATAAAGAAATAATAACCATCGTACAAGGTGGAAAATTGCTCTGGAGGACCCGTTACGGATATATGAGCCAAAATCAGAACTCAATTGATGGATTTAATCCATGAATACAGAAATATTGCCTCAGTTTACTGCCGCGATAGCAAATGCATGCTGAGATGAACCTTGGGACACATGATAGCATAGGCAAACAATGTCTCACAGAGAAACGCGCTTAATACGTTCTCTTATCACGGCAGTGGCCGCACCGCCGAAACCTCAAGGCCGTCTTTTGTGAAGCCCCGCTCAGCGTCCGAGATTCCTTAACAGTTCTTTTTTCTCCCGAAGATCTGTCAGTGTCGAGATCGCTCAGTTGTCTACAACACCGCTCAGGCGTAAGGGTCTCGTCCCTTTTGGTGCGAGCGAAGGTTCGAATCTCGTAGGGGACAGCTAATTTTTACTGGTTGTATTGAATGTTTTAGACCAATCATCTAACAATAATCAATACTTGGCAACTTAGGAAGCACATAGGTCCCTTATGATGCGTATTCGGGCATATGTTTAGAGTAAAAATATCATACGTAGGGTGTCCCAAAAGTACCGGGACCGGTTCTGTAACTTCAAAAGTAAAATAGATACAGACATGATTTTGGTCTCATTTTAAAGATCAACTCAATCGAATAAAAATTGACCGAGTCATGACAATTTGAAATTAGTGAGGAAAGTTTACCCCTACGGTTTTTAGGAAGATTTTTCGCTTACCAGGACTCAAAAAGTTAATATTCGTATCGACTTTCCTCCGAATCTTCCATAACTTCCTTTTGCTTTTCAAAGTACCGTCCATCAAACCGGATGCAATTTTTCATGCGCTCTTGCCACTTTTCCAACATTGTTTCCCTGAATTCTTCCTCTGGGATGGAGTTGAAGAAGTTTTGAATTGCATTCTGGATTTCGGTCTTCGATACGAATCTTCGTCCGCGAAGCTCCTTTTTAAGCGTAGGAAACATCCAAAAATCACGTGGAGCCAAGTCAGGGCTATAAGGGGGATGAGGGATTGTTTCAACTCCTTTGTAATCATAAATTCACGCGTTAAGCTCGATGTGTGAGGCCGCGCATTGTCTTGATGGAGTATCCACGAAGCTTTCAAGTCCGACCGTCTCCGGAAAATGTGCATTCTCAACTCCTTTAGTACTTTGCAATAATACGCACTGTCAACTGTTGTGTTTGATGGTACAAAATGTTGATAAATGACACCTCGAAAATAAAAAAACAGAATAAGCATCACTTTATCGGCCAACTTTTCGATTTACGGCGATAAAGAATCTTCCTTAAAAACCGTAGGCGTAAACTTTCCTCGCTGATTTCAAATTGCCATACCTCGGTCAATTTTTTTCCGATTTGGCTGATCTTGGTTTTAATCGATAGGTATTGAGTTGATTTTTAAAATGAGATCAAGATCATGTCTGTATCTATCTTACTTTCGAAGTCACAGAACAAGTCCCGGTTCTTTTGGGACACCTTATGTATACTTTACGCCGAAAAAGCGAACCTGAAACTTAAATGCGTTAACTTCCGAAAACCATATATTATCCAACGAAAATAAATAATTGGTACATAACAGCTTTCTTGTATGCAAAGAAAATAATTAAAAATGTTAAAAAAGAGATGTCAACACAAAATTACATAGCCCCTTCAATTCAGAAGATACTACGAACGAACTGTACCTTAACATTTTCATATCCCAGAAGCTAACGTTCCCATGACGAATATTGCTATCGCTAGCGATTGCAAAATCCAAATTGTCTCTTTTTGAATTATCTTTTTAAATTGTCATTGGTGAATATTTGGTTTTATTTCTATCCTTAAAATATTAAGTGCACAATATACTTTATATATGTATAGGTATTTTTTTCATTTATTTTTTCTTTACGAAATTATTTCTTCATTTTGAAAACATTTATATTCTTAAAACGTGACAAATATTTGTAAAACCTTTCCCAAGCGACATTAATCTCAATGAGCCGAGACCATTTGTACATCGATCTTTTAGAGTCAAATACGTCAAATTTTGAGCGTTTCGTTGCGCGTACACCTCGCTTCAGCACAATAGAAGCACAAAATGTAAAAGAAAAAATTAAAGTGCTTTGGAAATCATTAAATTTGACACGGAACCACCAATATTTAAAAAACACACATCTATATATTTAATGTCCTAAGGCCTTTTTTGGCCTCCAACAGTTTGTGCTAATTCGATCTCGGAAACTACTGGACCGATTTTCCTCGGATTTGTTTTAAATGAAAGCTCTTAGGCTGTAGACGTGCCAACATCCCTTGGTTTTTCGATTTGCGCGACCGACGTTGCAAAATTTACCTCGATTTGATAACGACATGCTTGCGTTTTTGACGTTGGAGAGTTTGTGCTAATTCGATCTCGGAAACTACTGGACCGATTTTGCTCGGATTTGTTTTAAATGAAAGCTCTTAGGCTGTAGACGTGCCAACATTCCTTAGTGATTCAATTTGCGCGACCGACGTTGCAAAATTTACCTCGATTTGATAACGAAATATTTTCGTCTTTGCCACTGGACGAGTCATATGGTTGGGGGACCTCCCACCCTCTCATTTTCCGTTTTCCTCTCCACGTAAACCCATCCCTACCTGCCGTTAGTACGTGTCAGTCTTCTACTCTGGCATGGGTCCTTTGTCAGTATCACTCCCTTTCTTATGCCGTCTGACTCGGAACACCTACTACGCATTTCCTCCATCGCATTGCTCATAATCAGTTCTCGGTTTGTCCAGGTTTCTCAGTAGTGCGTCTAGAGTTTTGCTTTCTTAATTTTATCATTATAGTTTTTTTTTTTTACATGAAAATTACTTAATTTTCATGTGTATTTTTCAAAAGATAATTTTCCTTTTTACGGCAGCACAGGTTTTATTAATAATTAACTTTTTTACAGCAGCTCATGTGTTCTTCCAACACTGAAAAAAATAATCGGTGGGATTTACCAGAGTTTGGGTGTTATTTACCATACTGTCTACTTGATTTTTTACACAGTGAAGCTGCAGCATAGTTACCAATATACCGGTATGGTAAATAACACGATACGGCTGACACTATGCGACACAGTGCCAGTGTGGCGTTCCCGACTGACTAGTATGGTAATTTCAAGCATCCAGATGCTGCGACAAACCTTGTAGATTCTAAAATCCACTCATTTTATATTATTAAATGCTTTTGATGAAA